TTATAAAGGAAACATGTGAATTAGACATTTATAAAGGAAACATGTGATGTACCGATATCTTAAGAAAAGTGATTTAACCAGTGTGGCGTGTTTGCAGGAGAGAACAGGACCCCAGAGTTCACCAAGCTGAACCCCATGCAGAAGGTTCCTGTCATGGTGGACAACAGCTTTGTCCTCACAGAGAGGTGCACACACACGCACAAAAATAATCTACACACGCACAAAAATTACACACACACAAAAATAATCTACACACACTCATCTCATTTAGGAGCTGTACTTTGGGCCAAAAGTGCCATAACTTGCCTCTGAGCACGACACAGTCTGCCCTTTGGGGTGAATTTGGTGGAACGTCCACATCTAGAAAGAATTTCTTCACCTTTTTGTTTTGTGGTTTACTGTAGCTCCCTGTTCAGTAATAAACTCCAGATTGTTTGACCTTTGACCCTTTCTAGACTTAAGGGAAGCAACAGTTGCCTCTGAGGTTATAAAAGTTTTTGGCACTTTGGGCTTTCCGTAGTTCAGTGCGTCTCAGGCGAAGCAGCAGGAAACTGTCTGACCATGAGCTGTCATGGTGCTCACACATCTGAACATGTGTTGCAGCGATGCCATCCTCAAGTACCTGGCCATGACCTGTGACATCCCAGAGCACTGGTATCCACGGCAACTAGAGCAACGAGCCCGTGTGGATGAGTACACGGCGTGGCATCACACCAACACGCGTCCTAAAGCTGCCAAAGTCTTCATACTGGAGGTAAACACAACACTTCCTGGAAAAAACACATTTCCTGTGAACACACTCCTGACATCAGGCTCCGCCCCCTCAGGTGCTGCTTCCTATGCAGTTTAGAGCTCAGGTGGACGAGGTGCGTTTGAAACGTGCGCTGTCAGAGCTGGAGGACATGCTGGACAAACTGGAGTCCATGTTCCTTCGTCGGCAACCTTTCCTCTGCGGCGATGACATCACCGTGGCCGACCTGCTCGCCGTTTGTGAGCTCATGCAGGTGAGATGTTTGGGTTAGGAAATGAGGGCGGGGCTTGTTGATTGGTTGTTTCTGAACGTGCTCTCTGTGTGTTCGCAGCCTCTGGGAGGTGGGCGGGACATCCTGAAGGACCGCCCTCAACTGCAGCGATGGAAGAGTCGCGTCCAGTCGGCCGTTGGCGAGTCGTTCGATGAAGCTCACGCTGTGCTGTTCGGCGTCAGAGACCGCCGCCGAGCCAGGCTGTGATGGGACCGAGTGGGCGGAGCCTCTTCAGTACCAGAGATGGAAACGACAAGTGTAAAGAAGAGGAGGGAGGTGTTTGATTAACCTTCGATTCAGTCAGACGGGCTCGGTTCTGATTCTGCCCGTCGTGTCTAACGTTTGTAATAAACGTTTGTAATTACACTTAAAGCACTTTAACAGATTGTAACAAATACTAAAATAAAGCTGTCATTTATTTTCTCATTTCACGTTTATTCTCTGAGCCGTTTGAGAGCAGCAGCTTTGATATAAAATGATTTAATTCAGTCAAAATTTAAACTTTATAAAGACCGTTGGGCAAGAAAAGTGTCTTTCATTAAAATTTTTAATTCAATCCAAATCGCTCAAAAACATGATCAGAACGGACTCCAGCACATCTGTAAGACAGCTGTAACACAGGACTGTTGCATGCTGGTTAATGGACTGTAGCTCCTTTCTGTCTGATCCAGATACAACAACCTGTGCCTCATTTACCCGTTCATACAGATCTCTACTAGATCTCTACTAGATCTGTAGTAGATCTATAGTAGATCTGTATATCTCTACTAGAGCTCTACTTGATCTGTAGTAGATCTCTACTAGAACTACTAGATCTGTAGTAATTCTCTACTAGAACTCTACTAGATCTGTTTCATGTTGCTGCTGATCTGTGTATTGTTTTTATGCTACTAGTGGTTCAGCACGGTGGCGCAACTGGTAGAGCTGCTGCCTCTCAGCGAGCAGGTCCTTGGTCTAGTAGAGCTCTACTACAGATCTGTAGTAGATCTATACTAGATCTCTAGTAGAGCTCTACTAGAGATCTGTAGTAGAGCTCTACTACAGATCTACTAGAGCTCTACTACAGATCTAGTAGAGATCTACTACAGATCTAGTAGAGCTCTACTAGAGATCTGTAGTATAGCTCTACTAGATATGTAGTAGATCTCTACTAGAGCTCTAGTGGATATATACTAGATCTGTAGTAGATATCTACTAGATCTGTAGTAGAGCTCCACTAGATATATGTAGTAGATCTCTACTAGATCTGTAGAGCTCTAATAGATCTGTAGTAGATCTCTACTAGATGTAGATCTGTAGTAGATCTCTACTAGATCTGTAGTAGATCTCTACTAGATGTAGATCTGTAGTAGATCTCTACTAGATCTGTACAAAGACTAATCAGAGCTTTATCACATTCAGACACTGATGGGACACACATCAGAGACAGTGAGGGGTTCAGTGTCTTGTCCAGCATCAAGGTCAAGGTTTTCTTTATTGTCATTCACGTCACATGTGCTGCATGTGTACACAGGGTCCCAGTTACATCCAAAAAAAGGTATAAAATGTAAATAACAGTAATAAGATCCATCCATCCATAATCTTTACCCGCTTCTTCCATTTTGGGTCACGGGGGTCGCTGTGCCCATGTCCAGCAATCACTGTCCGAGGGGCGGGGGACACCTGGACAGGTCTCCAGTCCATCAGAGTCAGAGTTTCTTTATTGTCATTCGCACCTCATGTGGTGGAGCGAAATTATGTTCACAGGGTCCCAAAAGGGACACATAGAGACAAACGAGACAAACAACCATTCAGTCTCTCACTCTCACCTAGGGACAATTTAGAGTTACCAATCAGTCTAACATGCATGTTTTTGGTCTGTGGGAGGAAACCGGAGTACCCGGAGAAAACCCACGCATGCACGGAGAGAACATGCAAACTCCACCCAGAAAGGCCCCTGGACCGGGTTTTGAACCAGGGACCTGCTCGCTGAGAGGCAGCAGCTCTACCAGTTGCGCCACTGTGCTGAACCACTAGTAGCATAAAAACAATACACAGATCAGCAGCAACATGAAACAGATCAGCAGCAACATGAAACAGATCAGCAGCAACATGAAACAGATCAGCAGCAACATGAAACAGATCAGCAGCAACATGATGTGATTTTTCACAGTGATTCTTCTGGTTAGAGATCCATGAGTCTAACAGCCTCAGGGTAGAAGCTGTTTGAATGTGATTTTTTTTTTGTTGTTGTATGAATTAGATAAAGCTCCGATTATTCTTTGTATAGATCTAGTAGAGATCCAGTAGAGATCTAGTAGAGATCTAGTAGAGCTGTTTGAACGGGTAAATGAGGCACAGATTGTTGTAAAGAGCTTTGAGAGTCTTGATCAGATAGAAAGGAGCTACAGTCCATTCAGCTGCACCACCTACATGTTAGTCAGCGTGTTTGAACTGCGGCAGTGAGCCTCCACTCAGAACCATGAAGCTGCAGGTCCAACAGACCCGTCTCCTTCCCTGAAACAAACCACGGTTCAGAACTTATTTGCAGCTTATCATATC